ATCTATCTATCTATCTATCTATCTATCTATCTATCTATCTATCTATCTATCTATCTATCTATCTATCTATCTATCTATCTATCTATCTATCTATCTATCTATCTATCTATCTATCTAAACTCTCATGTCAGGATGGAAAGGGAAGGCTTGGCAGACCACAGATCCCCGGTTCGGTTCCTAGTAAGCCCGGGTAAGTCTGAACAGAAGCAGAATTTAGAAAACGTATGCAAAAAATGGGGACATAAATCAGAATGTTTGTGTCGGCACATTTTTATATTATTCATCTACAAATGTTGGGTCTCTGGCTGCAGAGCCAGAGGTCAGGACTTCAATTCCCCACTGTGTATCTCCAAAGAGCCAGCCTGTGTGGCCTTGGGCAAGCTGCACCGTTCCAGGGCACCCCCGAAAGAAGGGGGTGGCAAACCACTTCTAAGTACCCTCTACCTAGAAAACCCTGAAAAGAGGCCAACACGGATTTGTCAAGAACAAATCCTGCCCAACTAATTTGATCTCGTTTTTTGATCAGGTCACCTCCTGGATAGACAGAGGGAATGCTGCAGATGTAGTATATCTTGACTTCAGCAAAGCTTTTGACAAAGTGCCCCATGATCTCCTGATTAGCAAGCTAACTAGGTGTGGGCTGGATAGATCAAGTGTCAGGTAGATAAACAATGGGCTACAGAATCATGTTCAGAGGATGATGATTAAGAGGTCCTTCTCAAACTGGGAGGAGGTCACCAGTGGGGCACCCCAAGGCTTAGTCGTGGGCCCAGTGCTCTTCAATATTTTTATTAATGACTTGGATGAGGGAGTGGAGGGAATGTTTGTCAAATCTGCAGATGATACCAAATTGGGCAGAATAGCTAATCCCCTAGAAGACAGAAACCAGAAGCCGGAAATCTTAGGGATTAAGTCTCAGTCAGGTTTCCCCCAGATCTGGTCAGGTTGATTTTCCTTTCCAAAGGAGATGGAAAAATAGCAAAAGAGATGTTCTTATGAACATGGCCAGAAGCAAGCTCTGTACGAGCTTCCTGGGAACAGGTGGCCGGTGTGGCCGAAATATACTTCATTGCCAACATGGCTGAGAAAGAGATCTTTCCTATGCCCCAGAACATGCCAAGGAGTCCTCTGGTCACCGAGTAAGTATCACTCTTGATAGGCTTTTATTTATCGCACCTATAAAAAATATTTTTAGCATCACTAAAGCAACTAGGAACATGAAATTGTGGGGCTTCTTTATCAGGTTTCCCCCAATTCTGGTCAGGTTGTTTTTTTCTTTCCAAAGGAGACAGGAATAGGGGATTGGTTTACTTCTGGCCTGATCTAAATCAGGTCCAAACCCATCTAGTGTCTTGGAGCCTTTCCTTGCTGACCCATCTCAACCTTGGCTGATGGTAGTGCCTTAGAGAAGAAAAGTGTGAAGGTTTTCCCCTTATTCACTAAGCAGCCTGCTTTACACAGCTGGACCCCCTTTTGAGTAACTCTGCTTAAGACAGGGCTGTCCTGTTCTCCTCCCTTCGGCTGTAGGCAAACGACCAGTAAAGACAGCCACAGATGGAACAAGCAGGAGCTTAGGGTGGGCAGATCGCTTGGGCTTGTTGATTGCCTTTTGAAGGGGTCTCAACACACCATGTAAGGGAATTCGCTGGAGGTCATATACATACTCGAGTGGGAAGGTTTGCAACCTTCTCACGGCAAACCCCAACAAGCGGATTTGCGTACTTCCTGAAGCAAAATGTAGCACTCTCCAAAATCCCACTGTCTTTAGTCAAAGTCCCTGTTACTCCATCACAGCACCGTCTCCGAGAGCCACATGGACAGGCAAGAACCTGTGTAAAAGGCAAGGTTCTGACGGATGATGTCATTGGCAGGGGTTATTGCCAGCCGTTCTAGAGGACCTGCTCGGAGGTCCAAGCTTGAAGACCACTCAACTAATCACTCTAATTACACGCAAGTGGGAATTTTTCATTAGCAGCAATCTTCCCCTATCATAGGACTGACCAGAAGCAGCAAACTGCTGGTAATTAAAGACTTCCCTCTTCGATCCCAGGGTTCACCCAACTTGCGCACAATAAGACTGATGGCAGGCAAGCTGAATGCAAGTCGGGTGCCCCTTCATCAGAGCAGGGACTCTAATTACCAGCAATATCCACCTGCCTGTCACACCATCTTTATGTTTCCTTGTTGTTTTGACCTTTTTATCACTCAGCACATTCTCAGGGTGTGTGTGTTACAACAAACTTATGCAAACAACACTTTACAGAGGTGTCATTTATTCAACAGAATTTTGGCCAGGTTTCTCCCTTCTCATTTGCATTGACAGGCTGAGAAATCCCATTAATCTTTGAAAACATTTCTGTGGAATGGTATCACCCTGCGAAGGAAGCCCCTTGTTGACTGGGCAACACCTTTCAGTCTAGGACAGTATAAAGCGACCTGGTGTAATTGCCTTGCATCGCCTTACACCTAGGAAGCTGAAAGAAGCCCTGCTGAAAACGGTGAGCCATTTCTCCCTTTACTTTCCAATGAAACATTATTAATTTTGCTTATAGCCCAATTGCTCACTAAATAGGAGGGTGCATTATCGTTGATTCATCTACCTCACTGTTAGCTCACTGTTTAACAGATCTCCAGAATTTCACACAATGGGTTTTCCTAATCCTACCTGGAGACATTGTTGTGTAGGGGTCCCCAACCCCCGGTCCGTGACCTAGGCTGGACCGGGCCACGGACACAGATCTCCTGCCCCCCTGGTGAGCGCCTATGTGTGTGAGCGAACTCCGCCCCTGAGCTTGCTGTGCGCATGAGCTCCCCCTGCAAGCACCACCATGTGCTCCCTGCATACGTGCAAGTGCGCTCCACCCCCTGTGAGTGTGCATGCGCGTAAGCAGCCCCCTGTGCACACTGCCACAGGCATGTATGCCGGCACGCTCCACCCCCCTGTGGGCACGCCACACCCCCACAAGCGTGCCATGCCCCCCAAAACCGGTCCGCAGTTGGGAAAAGGTTGGGGACCACTGGTGTAGTGGATAGAGTGTCAGACTAGGACTTAAGAGATCTGGGTTTGAATCCCCTCTGGGTCACAGAAATTCTTAAGTTGGCATGGCAATGGCAAACCAGTCTTCAAATATCTCATATACCTTGAAAACCCAATCAGACCCATTATAAGTTGGAAACAACTTGATAGGAAGTAACACAGAGAACCAGGCCGGCAGATCCAGGAGTTTGAACACGCAACTGCAATTCAGCTCTGCTGCAAAGCATGTTTCTGTTGCTTTCTGCTTTAGTTCTCACGAGCTTTATTTGCCTTCTTCTTGGTTGCATTTTACAGTCATGTGAAAAAGAAAGTACTGTACACCTTCTTTGAATTGCATGGTCTTGTGTATCATGGCATCATCAAAATCTTCTGGTCCTTAGCAGGTCAGAAAATTAGGTAAATACAACAAAACCTGACATAGTACTTTGTGTCATGATTGATTTCACTAAAATAACCCCCAAAAGGAACTTTAAAATAGCTCAGTCTGCCTCGGGAATAAAATAGGTCAGATCTCCCAGAATTCCCAGGACAAGAAGGTAACTTTCCAAACAAAAGTTACAAGGGTCACACAGATGGGTTTTTTTAATCCACCATCGATCTCCTGCAGTCCTAAATATGTTTACTAGACCCCAAGGCCACTTAAATTGATGTTAGATTTGACTAGGACAAGGAATGCTGATTATCAGAGCCAGAGATGTTATGACCTCCCATAATTTGTGAATTGCTCCATTTTGGGATTTTGTCAAACCATTGCGCCTTTCCCCTTGCAAAGTCTGATTTCTCAGTCACAACAGATGGCCACAGTCATGTTTCTTGAAGGCAACTTTAAGAACAGGTTACCTGCCCAGTCGGGCTCACTTTTGAACAACCAGGCTTAAGACTACGCAGCCCATGTTCTGCGTCTTCAACTATACAGTAAGATGGGATTTTTTTGTCTCTCTTTCCAGACCCACCAGCTATTCCAATGGATCCTGCAAATTCCTACGCCTTTCTTGTGAGAGGTATTCATTCTCTTGCAGTCACTGGAGATTTCAAACCTTGTGAGCTTCTGCTCACTGGAGACCGAACCCTTCCCATCCTTGTGGGTCCAGACAAGCAGGTGCTCATTGCCGCGTCCCAGTACGGAAAAGGGCGGATGGTGGTTGCCGCTCATGAAAACATCCTGCAACTTCCCCAGTTCTTGCCATTGGTTAAAAATGCCCTGGAGTGGCTCAGGCCTTCCTCAGGAGCCCAAGTGGGGGTCCACCAAAGCATGGATGCCCTCTCGGAGATGCTCCTTGGCAGTGGGGTCAAAGTCCATCCAGGGGCAGCGCTCGGGGACTCCCTCGGGGTCTACTGCATCGATGCCTACGACGATTCACAGGCGGATGAGCTTGTGCGGTTTGTAAAACGAGGTGGTGGGCTGCTCATTGGAGGGCAGGCCTGGCACTGGTCTTCCATGCACGGCCAGGAGAAAGTCCTGCAGGAGTTTCCTGGGAACCGGGTGACCAGCGTGGCCGGAATATACTTCACTGGCAACGTGGGAGAGAACGGGGTCTTTCCTGTGCCCCAGAACATGCCAAGGATTCCCCTGATCAGCCAGTAAGTATCGCTCTTGATGTTATTTTATTCACCTGACCTAGAAAAACACCTTTTAGCATGACAAAAGGAACCACAATCGAGAAATTCTAGGGATTATGGTTCCTCCCAGATCTGGTCTGGTTGGTTCTTCTTGGTGGCCTCCGTGAATCACACCCTGGCAGGCGCGGATCGCCCAGGGTGTGGATCACAGGGGTCCACTCGAAGAAGTACAATCACAGTTGGATAACCTGTTGTTTTTCTTTCCGAAAGAAATTGAAAAAGTGCATGGCTTCTGACTTAATCTAAATGATCTGCAACCCAACCCAGTGTCTTGAAGCCCCTCCCTGGCTGCGGTTACCCACATAAACCTTGTTTGGTGGTAGCGCCCTTGGGGGAAAGTGCATTTCTCATAAGCTATTTGTTACCTAGTATTCAGCACAGCATCACCCTATCCCCTTAGGAGGGTCATTAGGGTCAGTGATAAAATTGATTACATTGGCTGGAAAAGGGATTTGGGAGAAGCAGAGGCATAAGACCCCCCTGGGTGCCACACATTCGTAAGTGGGAGGTGCTCTAAAATGAGAAAATTGTGACATTTTTTCTTGCAACTGTTAATATTCATTTCGAACAAGCATTTCCACCTCTAGTCTGTGGAAGGAGGCGAGAAAGACCTCCACCAGAAATTGGGCTTTCTTGATTCCTGGCGACATCTCTCTAGAATGGGTTTCCGGCTGAGATGGGCCTGGCCTTCTCCCTCTCAAGATTCAAGAGATTGCTGAAGACTATGGTTTTTTTAACTGAAGCTTATCAGGGCACCTTCTGGTGAAGGATGCCAAATTGTGTTTGCCCAACCGTCTACTGTTTGTGATGCTGATTCACAAATTTTGTGTCATTTATTGATTTAATGTCTCCCTGGAAAAGACCCTAATGTTAGGAAAGTGTGAAGGCAAGAAGGAGAAAGGGATGACAGAGGACGAGATGGCTGGACAGGGTCATCGAAGTGACCAACATGAACTTGACCCAACTCCGGGAGGCTGTGGAAGACAGGAGGGCCTGGCGTGCTCTGGTCCATGGGGTCACAAAGAGTCAGACATGACTAAACAGCAACAATCATAATTCTATTGTTATTGTCGTATGTATTATTTGCATTGTTACCTGTCCAAAGTAGTGTTGTTAAATTCTATATCAGGCGATATAGAATTTAACAAATAATAATAATTTTTTAAATGGATTCATAACCATGGGGAATCTCAAATACTGTATAGGAAATGCAGTAATCTTTCATTGCTCCTTTACCACCTTACTGTAAACACTGTTCAGTAACATATTTCTGGCCACAGAGTAAATAGCCTTTGGTATACCATCCTCACCTAACTACAGATGTGTATTGGCTTCTGCAACTACATATAGTGGGCTTCCCTCCTTCAGATCACCCTTTAATGTTGCCAAGGTCTATTCTCATTGAGATACCACCATATGTAAGACCTATCCCAGGTCAAAAATGGACATAGCGGTGGGTTTGTAAATCCTTTGAAGACCAGTGTTTTAGGCCCACCCAAAGGAAACAAGAGGCTAACTCTGAGGATTCTTCCTTTTCATTTCCTTGTCATTAGGCATGGACTGGACCTTCAACATGATTTAAACACTCTTCTGAACGGCGTCCCCGAGTTCCAACTGCAAGACAGCGTCCCTTCTCGCCTGCTCATCCACGGGGTTTTGGCATTTCCAATCAGCATGACCGATTCCTATGAAACATTCCTTGGAGCTGCGTATTATGGAAGAGGACGTGTTGTGGTCACTGGACAAGACTTTCTGCTTGACACGCTATCAAATGAAAAGTTTCTACTCAATGCCATCGGCTGGCTTACTGCTAGGAAGGGAGGGAAAGTTGGCCTCGGAGGTGACTTCCAGACACTTTATTCCATCTTAAATCGGGCCAGGATCCTGTGTGAGCTCACCACTCTTAAAGAGGGCCTGAGTGTCTACTGCTGCACAGCCTACAGTGATGAAGAAAAGGAAAAAATCCATGAATTTGTTTCGGAAGGCGGCGGTCTCCTGATCGGAGGGCAGGCTTGGTACTGGAGTAGTGAAAATCCTAGCTCCCAGGCCATGGCTGAATATCCAGGGAACAAAATACTTAATAAGTTTGGAATCGGAATCACTGGGGAAAGTATATCGAGTGAAAGCTATCCAGCAGGCCAGGGCAGAGATGTGGCGTCAAGCTACCACTTTCGGAAAGCGCTCTCCCAGTTCAGGGAGCACATCCTGAACAAGAAAGCTCTACAGCCACCCTACTCCGCGTGGCTCAAGAAGCTAGCGCCAGATGCCTCCACCTTCTTAGAAATTCCAGCTGCCAACTCCCGTCCTTTCTCTTCTGTTCACGAGGACATGGTGGAGAGCGTCCAGATCCGTGGGCTTCCTGCTGTCAGTGCGAGCAAATCAGTCAGCTCCTCCTCGGATGAAGCCGTTTTACTCGACTTCGCTTGGGGTCTCTACAAGGCCATACCCGAGTTCCAAAACCTAGTCCCCAGCCTGAATCGATATTTCACAAAACCTTATCCGATAGCTACACCTCAAACCATCAGGATCAATGGCACAAATGATGGTAAGACAGATCCTTTACAAAGGTTTTAATCTAGTCCATTATAATGTTATATTTCTGTTAATTTCTTTGGTATTCTGCATGGTTTGCAAGCTGACAAGGTCCAACATATTTTTTCGGGGCATTTACCTGATCACATCACTGAACATCTGCCCAGCTATGCAACCAGCACCTTGATAATGAGCAGAAATTTGCCACAAATATGTGTATGGATTTTGCTTACACAACTGTAAATCAGAAGTGAAATTCTGGCCAATAAAGGATCCATTTCCAAGTTCTGCAGCATCTTCTTTTGAAACTAGATGGAATTATATCTTATTCATTCATTCATTTTGGTACTTATATACTAACTGCCCCATCATTACACAGCATTATTCTGGGTGGTTTACATAAAACCGCAAACAAACAAATGAAAAGATTTAGGAGTGATATTAACCTCACGGGTTGGCTTTCATTCTGCTTTGAGATGACTTCGTTTTAGGCAAATACAATGGTACTTCAACTTACAAACGTCTCCACGTACGAACGATTCGAGTTACGAATGGCTCCATTCACAAATGTTGCTTCAACTTGCAAATGGTGTCTTGACTTACGAATCGGAAAAAAAAAACCTTTCCTGCCCTTTTTTTTTTTTTTTTTACCTAAGTTCATCTTTGGTCAAAAGAAGAAAAAAAATTTAAAATAATTCTCCCCCTAGTGTTAGAGGACGAATTAACCATCTTTGCATTGCTTCCTACGGGAACTAATGCCTCTACTTGTGAACAGCGCCTCGACATAGGAACAAAAAACAGCCTGAATGGATTAAATGGTTTCCAGTGCATTCCTATGGGAAATCTTGCCTCAAGTTACGAACTTTTGACGTACGAACATCGTTCCAATACAGATTACGTTTGTAAATTGAGGTGCCACTGTAAACATGACTGGTAGATTGAATGCTAATATAACCATGTAGAGTGCCTCTCTGTTTAATTAGTGATCCTGCATGGATCAGTTAAGCGATCTTTACATAGTAGGGCTGTTCTGCCCTTTTCTAGGAAGTTTGAAAATGTTTCAGTCAACAAGAGGCTAAATAATGATAATATTTTCTATTTAATGTCAGTCATAGATTCTGCAACTCACTGATTTTAACTAATGTTTTTGGGTTCACCTTGCAGGAGAAGAATCCTGGAGAAGCACAGGCATGTATGTTCCTCCAGCAAAGACCGTGACTTTACTCTTCCCATCAAGGGCCACTGCTGCTGAATTTCAGGTAGTATTATTAAGAATTTTAGTTAGGTAATGATGGAAGACATTTAAGTACCATAGTCAAAATATGAATGGCTGGCTTTAAAGTCTAAAATTAACATGGAGATTTTAATGCACTCCCTTAAGGAATATAATGTAGAATGAAAGAGAATGGATGGTCGTGAAGAACGTATCGTTCAACAGAAGGATATCGATTAGAGACATTGCAGGTTCAGATTTCTGCTTTCCTATGAAGTTCATGAGATCATGAGATAACCATTTGCCCTCTCAGCCTGAGGTTTTAGGAGCTGGACTTCCTCGTCAAGATGTCATGAAGAGAAATTAGATTTCTTTTAGAATTGCAGCCTTCATTTTACCTGTGTTGTGTTAAGATGCAGGAACCCAGTGCCATATATGGAAAGTTGCGGAGTGAATAGTTTAAAGTAACTTGCAGAAATAGCACAGGACGTGTGCAGAATTTCACAACCTTAACAATTCAAAATAAATATTCTCATCCTCTTTAAGCAGATCACATTTCATCTTTGATTTTTTTCCACTTCAGGGATGTATCAAAATCCTGCCCTGCCTGGCAGTGCAGTCAAACACTCAAAACAAACCAGAAGGGAGAGCAACCCTAGAGAGACACCAGTGTAATGATTCTACTTTCAAGAAAAACCTGTTCTGCCTAATGGCTGGAATACTACTGGTGTAATGTGCCTGCGGAAGGGTGACTAGTAAGCAGGCCACATAAATTGTGGGACAGAAGGAGGAAGTCTTTAGTCACAAAAAAAAAAATAATCTGTAGTTGCTGGACAACATTACTGGCCAGGAGAGATTTTAAAGACTTCTTCCTTCTGGGATGCAGCTCCCACAGCTTCTACTCAATGAAATATATCAGAATTGAAAAAGCCCTGGGAGAGAAATAGGAAGTTTTTAATTTCCAAAAATTGCTTCCTGTGGGTCATCACATCAACTTTCTGTAGGCACTGTTATACAGCAGGACTATGGACTATTAGTCCAGATCTTTTTACAGACAATAATTTGTAGCAGCAGTCTGACAAACCGAGCATCCCTTTTTCCAGGTACAGATTGGCTGCCATTCTGATAACTTGAGTGATGCCGAGAAGCTGGAACGTCCTCCGGTGGTGGTAAGACAATTCCCAGTTACGAGTCAGAGGATGGAGGTGTCCAGCTTGTGGGGCGGCCTCTTGTACATCATTGTGCCAAAGAAGTCTTCCGTGGGCGCCATCTCTGTCACCGTAGAAGGCGCGGCAATGGCTCCGTATTTCAAGCACGGTGAGAGAACTTCCCCTGCACGCAACTATGTGAAGGGCTGACCGTTTGTGAACTGAAAACTCCTGTCTGAATTCAGGTGGACTGTTAGCAGCAAATGGCAACTTTATCTCAATGCCCAACTTAAGGCTAGAAGCCATACGTAGCTTTTCTTTTCTGGCTTTATCTTTCCAACATTCTCTGAATAACATACTTTTATAGAGAGATTGTAGACTCTTATGGCTGAAGCAAAGCTGGGCAAATGCAGAATATAAAGGTGGAAGAATCAAGAATGTAACTACACAGGCCAATTATCCAGGCTTCCATCAGTCTAGACCATGCCAGATTGATTCAGCTAGATCTAGACCAATCCTCTTTTCTTTTAAAGGGAAAGAAAAGATTCCTTTCCTATCTCCTCTTCTGTGCTTTGCTTAAGCCACTTAAAGATGTTGAGAAACGGGAAACATTCTTGCCACTCGCCTGCAGAAGAGAAGGGAGGGAAGTTTTCTCTTTTAATTGCGGATAACTGACACAGTGTATCGGCAATGTTTCGAAAGGGCTTTTTTAAAAAGGTCCCTTCAAAGCACCGCTGATGCATTAGCAACATTTAAAAAAAGAAATGCAAAACTTCCCCTCCACAGGGGTGTGCAACGGAAGCTTCCCATTTCTCATGATCGTTAAATGCCTTCGGCAAAATGACAACCAGCTAGCCACTTTGGTTTGATCCCAGCAATCTGGAATGGAAACAAAACAGAGCAATCCTACTGACTCCAAACAATCAGTAGCCCTAAGCAGGGACCCCAAAAGGTGGAGTTAGGTATCAATCAGGGTGAGCTGGTTCGCAATGACCACAATATCAATGTGGGCTGCCAGGAGGCTGAGCAAACCAATCTGTCCCCAACCTAGATCATACTGGAGGACAAATGCCCATCTGATCGCATCCTAATGTCCTTTTATTGTTATGTGTTCTGGAACTCGAGGAAACAGTTTTCTAGATAAAGCATTAGCAACATGTCTGTCTGGTAAAATGATCAAAAGTTTAAACCAGCAGGCATTCACTAGAAGAGTCTAAACCAAGGAGAAAAATCTTCAGAATGCCAGTAATTCTCTTGTAGATTGTTTTATTTTCTTATTTGAGTAAAGTCAACACACTTCTGCCCTGTATTCTTTTTTCAGGGTTTAAAAGTAAATAATTAAAAATATTTTATAAATGAAGCAGATCAATCATATGAAAATACACCGTATTTCTCTTCTCTTTACAACATTCTAATTTATAATGAATTACAACAAAGTCCAACTGCTTGCATTTCCAATCAAATAGAATTGGTTGAGTATAGAATAAGTCTCACATTTCTACTGATATATAGCCAGGGAAGCAGTTACATCTGACACTTCTAAACCTTGAAAACAACCTAAAGGGTTCCCAGGACAAAAAGAATCCCAAGGAAGCTACTGGAACCTCCAGAATTGGGAAATCGGAAGCTTTTAGTTGTGTGAAAAGTAGGCACAGCTGATAATGTCATCAGCCTTCCATGGTGTCATGTTGCGCAACAGGATTCCTGCCATTATGCAGTGGGAGTGTCATTTTAATCAGCCCTGATCCCATCAACTCTCAGATATAATATTAATGGTTGTTTTCTTTTTGAATACTTGATCAGGTGAAACTAGGGTAAGCGACTGGCGGAACACCATACGCCATTACCCAGCGCCCTGGGCTGAGCTAGAAACTATGGATATCATCTTGACGGTGCCCTCAGACGAGGCACGCAAAATGGACGATCCAGAGACCCTGCTCTCCACTTGGGCCTGGATGATGAAAGCAGTGGCCGAATTGGCCTCCATTCCTCCAGTCTTCCCCAGACCTGAGAGAATCGTGACGGATGTTCAGATATCAGCTGGCAAGTACAACCCAGAAACCAGTTCATGTCATGGAAATGGCAGAATGCATGCAATCCGTTTTCCCATTTTGTCCAAACCTACTAGATTCCATTCCTACCTGTTTTTGTGTCTACTTCCTTTAAAATACAAAACAAAACAATACCATGCTACCTAACTGGAGTTAGCAAGAAATAAGAGCGAGGTATCGATGTACTTTGGCTAGAAGAAATAAAAAGTTAAATGTACACAAAAGCATAGAAGCAAAAAAGCAACCTCCAAATCTTGAGCACTTGTGAAGATTCAGGATTCTCAGATTCTGGCAAGATGAGGGATTAGATTTTTTTAAAATGTAATAATCAAAGTACGAAAGGGTCATCATAGCCTTGGAGTGGAATATGCTGAAAAAGAGCAAGGCTAACTCACTGGAATCATGAATGGAAAAACCCATACTACAGCATTTTGTTGCAGGTTGCATAGTCTGTATTCCAAAGACTACTTGATATTTCCTTGGGGTTTCCATCCAGTCTGCCCAGATATGTATGTCCGTGTCTGTAAATAAGGAAAACAGGTTTGCATGTTGTATAGTTGGTATGCATGCATAAGCTGGGTGGTAGAATGATTGACAAATGGGTGCTTGAATATTGGATGCAGGTCTCAATGCTGATTGGCTGGTATGTAAGCAAAGCAAAGTGTCTGTCGGTCAGAAGTATGTCTTGGGGCAGCCAGGAAAGAAGTCTGTTGAGAGACTGTTGTCTGGAGTCTGTGTTGTCGTTGTTGTTGTTTAGTTATTAAGTCGTGTCCGACTCTTCATGACCCCATGGACCAGAGCATGCCAGGCCCTCCTGTCTTCCACTGCCTCCCGGAGTTGGATCAAATTCATGTTGGTCGCTTCAATGACCCTATCTGTCCATCTTGTCCTCTGTCATCCCCTTCTCCTCTTACCTTCACACTTTCCCAACATCAGGGTCTTTTCCAGGGAGTCTTCTCTTCTCATGAGATGGCCAAAGGATTGGAGCCTCAGCTTCAGGATCTGTCCTTCCAGTGAGAATAGTTAATTCTGGAGTCTGTGAGAATAGACAATTCTGAGTCCTGGATGCAGGAGAGTCATTTCTGGGGAACTGTGTGTGTGAATACTGTAGAATATCTATTAGATTAGATATCCTGCCTGCCACCCTGCACTCTGCCCGCCCTTGGCTGCCCCATCAACCACAATGGGCACCAGCTGCCAACATCTCCTGCCATTTCTGTTATGTGCCGTCCTGTCGCTTTCAACTTATGACGATCTTATGAATGAGTGAACTAGAAAAGGCCCCGCCATTCGGGTTGTCTTGTCTGTATGTCAAGATAATTTAGGAATTTAAATTTCTCACTTCCCAACTCATATTTGATGTTAATGTAATCGTCTTGTCTGTCTGTCAAGATAATTTAGGAACTTGAATTTCTCACTTCCCAACTCATATTTGACGTTAACGTAACGCGTTTAAGTTCCATGGGGCTATTTGCCTACTTCCCAACTCATATTTGATGTTAATGTAATGCGTTTAAGTTCCATGGGGCTATTTGCCTACTTAGAGATCTCTTCATGAACTTTGCAAATGCAGTTTCACAAAATGAGTCTCTTCTTATTCACAGACAGCATGAGCAATGATAACCACAAAATGCTACAATTTGTGCACCCACGTCCTCAGCCACAGCACCAACACACAAGTTGCTTGTAGAATTGACAAAGCTCACGTATCCTTTTGAATTCAAATTCAGACAAAAATCCAAGGAGTCTTCCTCAACTGGGTGAGGAATCCATAACATAGAAAAACCAGTTCCACATGCAGAGTCTTCGAAACCCTAAAATAAAATATCAATTCAATTGGAAATACATGAATTCACTATGTGGAGTCACCCCTCCAAAACACACATACTGTAGAAGAATTACGCCTAGCCCAAGCTTACAAGGACAACAGTTTAATTAGGAACAACAGCTCTGGCCTTTTCAGCTGTCCTGCTTCTTCTGATTCAAATCTCCACTCACAGCCCCTCCCTTCTTTAGTCCCACTCCATTGGGCTGAACCAGCATTTCATAGCGGTTACCATTAACCGTGCTGGAGTAATAGCAAACTTGCATGCACTAACACTGGGTATCAGTGGGAAGAGACTTTCAGCCTAGTGTGTTTGTCTTTTTCCACTAGCTTGATCGCTGAAGTTCTTTCCCCACCTCTGGCCTTTTTTTTGGCAAGTCCTCACTTTCTCTTACTAGATTACTTCCATTGTCTTTGTTATCCACAGCTACTTTCTTCCACTGACTTCCAACTAAGCAACATGCATGCAGGATCTCTCCCGTGTGCTGAACACTCCATTTCTCTTTTTCTTTTTTTTCCTTCTGATTGTATCTACACATGGTAACTGTAAGTAAAGATACCTTTTCCCTACTTTGAATGCTGCCAGCGTGACTTTGTCATGCAAAGCTCTCTGATCAGTTAATTGTAATAAAGGAATCAATCAAGCAAGCAAGCAAAGCACTACTCTGTTTGTAGAGAAACTAAGGACAAGCGTGCGAGTTGATGAGACTGAGCTGAGCTCTCCATGTTTCTGTGTTGTTGCATCATACTCTGTTCATTTAAAGGAATAACCAAAATTATCTAATACACAGAAGGAGCCACCTTTTCCTCTTGCTGGAGGAATAATGCCTTCCCCAGGAAACTCCACTTCACTTCCTTCTTCATGATCTTCCATAGTGGTTTTTAAAAGCTCCCTCTCTAGAGAGCTCTGTAATCTACTACAGCCTGGCCTGCCTCCATCACAACAATCATCTGTAATGTTTGGTCTTGGTATATGGGTTTTAGGTTCATGGATTCCTAGGGTTGAAGACTGCCTTATACTTTCGTATAAAGAAAAAAAGAGTTACGATTGCTTCCTTCTACAGGTTGGATGCACGCTGGCTACCCGGTCATGGCAAATGTGAGGGCGATACAAGAGATTGTGGACGTCCAGGCCTTCCATACAAAGGGGATCTGGGGCCCTATCCATGAGCTGGGTCACAATCAGCAGAACGAGGGATGGGATTTTCCGCCCCATACCACGGAAGCCACCTGCAATCTCTGGTCTGTTTATGTCAATGAGACGGTACTCAACATCCCCAGAGGGAAAGCCCATTCAGACCTTCAGCCAGATCTAAGAAAGAAAAGGATTGAGAAATATATACAAGAAGGAGCTCAGCTGAAGAACTTTGAAGAATTCACTGCACTGGAACCCTACTTACAGGTAACAGACAGCAAGAATGTATTAATGCAGAATCTTAAGAGCCTCACTAGACAAGATGTTGGATCCTGTATCTAGAAGGAGTGCTCCTCCAAGTGGCCAAAAAGGCATACCTCTGAAAACATATTAAAAGTGGCAGGCTGTGTGTCATTTGAATTATTATCACCTTCCTTTGCCCTCCTCTCTTCCACTGCCTCCCGGAGTTGGGTCAAATTCATGGTGGCAGCTTTGATGACACTGTCCATCCATCTCGTCCTCTGTCGTCCCCTTTTCCTCTTGCCTTCACACTTTCCCAACATCAGGGGCTTTTCCAGGGAGTCTTCTCTTCTCATGAGATGACCAAAATACTGGAGCCTCAGCTTCAGGATCTGTCCTTCCAGGGAGCACTCAGGGCTAATTTCCTTCAGAATGGATAGGTTTGTTCTCCTTGCAGTCCAGGTGATCTTAAGAGTCTCCTCCAGTACCTTTGCATACTTACCGTATTTTTCCATGTATAAGACCCCCACTGTATAAAACAACCCCCAATTTTGATCCTTGCCAGAGGCAGAGGCGAAGGAGCAGCCATGCTTGGCCGCCCATCACAGATGCCCATTCACTGCTGATGCCGCAGCCGCACAATCTCCTCCTCCAGTGCCTCTCACAGGCTCCCTTCAGGCAGGGGACAAGGTGGTAGCGTAAACTGGAGGTGAGCCCTGCGAGTGGAAATGGAGCAGGTGATCGGGTGGCGGCAGCAGCAGTCAATGGGCAGCTGCGAGAGATGGCCGAGCGCGGCTGCTCCTTCACCTCCGCCTCCTTCCATGTATAAGACGACCCTCAACTTTTCCTCTAATGGTTTTAGAAAAAAGTGTCATTTTATACACGGAAAAATATGGTAATTGGGAGATATCATGAAGAAGATGGTTGCTAAGAAGAACACAGTGTAAGAAGAGGAATGTGTCATATTCACAAAGGCTTTAGGTACTTAATTGGAAGCAGATCCGATTGAACTTAATAGGCAACTTACTCATTAACTAATATTTCTAGGATTAGGGTGCAACATTTTAATTTTGCCCCTACTTTCTCCAATTTGAACTGGATTTATTTTCATTTACTTAAGACTGACGCCTGTCCCCACCGAAAGAATAACAGGAGTATCGACATAGAATGAAAGGACGGTCAAGTTGGAAAACGAAATCATGTCCAACCTTTTGACAAAGCAGAACAGTTACAATGAAAACATACAGAAGATGGTTTTGTGAAGCCAGAGGTTGGGAGTTGATTTCCCCCGCTGTGCCTCCAAGAGGGAAGAGCCAGCCTGGGTGGCCTTGGGCCAGCTGCGCAGTCCCAGAGCACCCCTAGAGGAAAGGAATGGTAATGCACCTCTGAATATGCTCTACCTGAAAAACCCTGGAAAGGGTCGCCATAAGTCTGAATAGACTTGACAGCACAGGGTTATTATAATCAAGAGTCATCACCGGTCATTAAACAGAATGGTTTTGGAAAGTAGGTTTAAGAAGCCCATTTCCTCTGTAACAAAACAGTGCAATCTACGATTTATCATTCACAAAGCAGTCCAAATGTATCAAGTGCTGAACACCACGTGGTCAGACAGTGACTGCATGCTCATTATATCTAGAAGACAGGAGGAAAGGGGGATATAAAGGAAGAAGAAGAGGAGAGCAAGCCAAGCCAGACACCAGCTCTCATAGCGACCTGTTCAGAAAGGGTCCAAACTTGCACTGAAGTGAACAACGGGGGACATCTTGTGCTTTCTGTTCCTCTGCTGCAGTCAGATCCATAATATGATGGTTGCTCCTGCAACTTTACAGTTAGTTGCTGGAGCTAAGGCTGCAACCTCTGCCCACTGAATTCTTTGCCAGGGTATCTTTAATATCTCTTCCAGATTAGAGCCAGCATTCAGTACAATCAACACTTAAGATTTTCTGCACTGCCTTTTGCACCTTTAGGTTTATCTCTGGTACTTTTCACTACTGTGGGCGGTGCAAAAGAAGAAAGCTATCCTATAGACATTTAATGTTGGTTTGGGGAGCTCACCGGTTGCCCATGACCCTTGGTGACCCTAACCTTGGGGATACCCAATCATTTCCCGTAACACTCACCAAAATGGATCAACCCCTTGCTAGATGGCATGCATCCCCCTCCACTGCCCAGCAACTTAACCTAAGTAGTTATTTCCTCACTAACGCCACCTCAGACACAGGAATTGTTCTGCCGTCCTTTGGAAAATAATGTAATCTTTATTCTTTCCAGCTTCAGGAGGCGTTTGGGTGGGAACCGTACAAGCGTCTCTTCGCCGAGTACCGAAAGATGACCAGCGTTCCAACCGACAACAAGTCCAAGATGAATCTCTGGGCAGAAAGGTTTTCCCAGGCCGTGAGCAAGAATCTAGCCCCTTTCTTTCAAGCCTGGGGGTGGCCCATTGAAGACAACATTTCTCAGAAGCTGGCCAAAACCTACCCTCCATGGGAAGAAGACCCCATGAAGAAATACCGATCTCAATAAACAACTAAAGAGGAAGCTAAGAAAAATCATGTCGAATTCACCAAAGGATCCTTCCATGGCTTCCACAACTAGCGAAACATTTAAAAAGCACTGTGCTGGCTTTTCATGGCTTTCTCGTATTTCTTTTCACCAATCTTCAAATCATTCTTCATACGTTTCAGTTCTTTCCTCTGGATACATTTGTTTTCTAATGTTCTTCTTCACCTGTGGTGACCTGAACTCCATGTAGTAGCCCACACATGGTCAAGCTAGTACAAGGTGGTGAGTCCAATGTCACCGGGGGGGGGGGGG